AAAAACTTTGTGTAGCTAAAATTTGAATTAAAAATTTGGATGCTTTTTTTTCCAAGATTTTTTTCAACCAGGCTCCCTTGTATAAGACTAGCAGGCTAGTGGACCCCAAGTCATTTGAGAATGTGAAGCTCTCAGTTAGCTAGGGTTAGATTGGCTGTTATCAAGTTTATATAAAGGGGAATTCCACCAATTTTCTGCATAATTAAATAATTAAGATTTGAATCAAATTATTCAGAGTAGTGTGATGTGAAATGCTCTGTTCTCCAAAATTCCTCTTTAAGTTAGCTGGCGCTCAGACCACCAGGGAGACAGTCTGTCGACTCCATGTGTGCAAGAATTTGAGCGGGTTACTCCGTTCCATTATTAGACTCACCACGCCCCACACTTCCCTCAGAGGATTCCTTCATATGTATGATGCTGATAGAAAGTTTGAGAGAGTGGAGAGGAAGTCAGTGAGAAGCAGAAATGCATTTGGGGGGTGGACGGATGCTGGTGGACCTTTCGTCTTGTTGTCAGCAGGACGTTGGGGCCATGCTGGGCTCTATTCACCTTGACTCCTGCAGCGAGCTGGAGGCACCGGCTGACAGTACCGTCCCACTGTCACACTGGAGGACAACCACCCGCCGCATCTCAGGATGCCGCGGCCCGTGTTTGTGTCCAGAACCGCCCCAGAAAGCAGCAAAGGGCATGTTCTCAGTCGGAGATGTTGTTGTTGTTTAGGTCAATGCACTTGTGTTATTTTTTTTTTCTCGCTCTCGCTGTAGATTCACCAGTGACAGCCATGTAAATGATACCCTACAAGGTCCAACAAGATGTCATTATTTTCATTATCTCCCCTTACAACTGCTCATCTACGAGCTGTATGAGTATCTTTAGCACTCGTCAAATATCCAAAAAGCACTCTGACCATGAAATGTGTGCCCTTTCCCTGCGGTCACACCCCAAACACTTTCCTGCTGAATTTTTCATTATTTTACGCCCGCTCAATCTTCATTCCTTTTTTTGTATTTTGCTTTGCCTCTGTTCTCCTGGACCACATGGCGCTAATACAGGTCTCTAATGCCCCGAATATTCTTCCCATTAGGGCTGACACTGCAGTTATTCATGTTTTCATAATGCTATAATTATTGCTGTCTCTCCACCTGACGCCCAGTCACAATAGATTACGAACTGCATTGGCCGTCTGCCCCTTATCAGTTTGTTTTAATCCCCACACATTCCCCAATCAATAAATTGAATTAAATCATTAGCGCCTCCCTGCCCTCCCTCCCCGACAGCCAGATTCCCGCTTTCAAGCTGGCCGCTCTAATTAGTCCCACATTATTCTAATGACACATAAAAGACGCGCTGCACAGTTTAGAGGGAAAGGAGCGAGAGAGCCCCAGCAACGGCTGAGGGGCAGCAGGCTGGAGCAGTGTGGGTCTGTAAGCAGGGAGATGAGCAAGGTGCAAAATACAGGGGGTGCTGGGGGATCCGGGACCCCCTAACTGACCTCTTGGATCCCCTGAATGTCCCAAAATCAAAATCTGGGGGTCACTGAAAATTATGACATTATGCTGTCAGCTAGTGGAAAAAAAGCAAATTCAAGGAGACGTGATTGTTTAACCTGCTTCAAATAGGAAACTGCAAGCTTCCATCTTTGATATTAATGCAGCACTTGTCTGCCTCAGGGTGGCGCTGTTGCAAATTGGTTCACCCAGTTCAGGGGTGTCAGACTCAAACACTAAATGGGCTCTATTAAAAAACTCAACAAATCTATGGGCCAGCTGTGTTTTTATTTTATTTTTACATATTTTGCCATGACCCCAACTGGCCATTGTTGTTCAAAACATGCCAAAACTACAAAGGCAAAAAATAGGCACTGAGTACTTACACGATTCAAAAATCATTTTAAATAAAAACAAATTGTTTTGTATAAAACAGTAGTCTACATTAGCTGCAGATAACTGTTAAACCGCTTTAAATGTCCCCAGTGTACAGTCAGTTTTTTAAAACTGCCCATTCTCTTGAACTAGTCGCCTGGCACCTTTTCTTTTGTTGTTGTTTTTGTTTTTGTGGTGCTGTCCCAGAGATCATCGTTGAGGAGCAGGGTGGGAGCACACGTTATGTTTCAGGGTATGCTGGGAACTGTAGTGCAGCTCATGGTGAAATTGGCTAATAATAATAGAAAATAAAAATAATTTTGCGGGCAGAACAAAATGATGCCATGGGCCTGACTTGGCCCGCATGTCTTGCGTTTAACACATGCCCCGTTTTAGATGTTTGGAAGTGTAGCAGAGTGAAAATGTCAAAAGTGTAGAAGTTTTTTGAAGACTTATTAGAGGACAACAGAACTGCAACACATGTTTAGGCGAGGTACACCAGTAGTATTTTTACATGACCAGTTATTGATGTCTCTATCAGCCATGATGCATTAATTATTGATTGTCATTATGGACAAAGAAATTCCACATCAGTGCATCCCTAGTTTAGTTTTTCTCAAGAAGCCTATACTTTTGCTACACTCTCACACATTTTCATTCACCTGAGAGTGGACACACACAAACACATACACACATGTTCACACACAGTCTTGGAATATAGATGTATTGGCTACACACGTGTGATGTTTTATTTATTTGTGTTTTTACTTGAAGATTACACTGCCTTGACAACATGATCAAAGTTGAGAAATGCGTTGCCTTGGCAGCAGGGTCCGCACACACAACCTCCGTGTGCACAGGGTCTGTGGACCGTGGGAGAAGAGGATTGACAACTGCTGCTAGAGAGAGCGAGAGAAATACAGAGATACAGATAGAGGAAGGGGAGAGAGAGGGAGATTGAGATTGATAGATTGAGAGAGAGAGGTGAGAGAGAAAGAAGGAGGGTGTGAGTTAGGGAAAGAGGAAAAAAAGAAGAAAGTGAGTGGAGAAGCGACAAAGAGAATGAGGAAAAGAGCAGGAGAGAGCAGATTGAGGGATGGAGGGAGAAAGAATCAGAGAGGCTGAGATAGCAAGGGAGAGAAAGGGAAAATGAGAGAGGGGAGGAAAAAAATGAGAAGGGGAGAGAGTGTGGAAAAGAAAGGAAAAAGAAGAGAGTGAGTCAGGGAGAGACAAAGAGGAAAAGAGAAGGAGAGTAAAAGAGATGGAGGGAGACAGAGGAGAAAAGGTAGAGAGAGCAAGAAGAAGGAGAGTGAGTGAGGGAGAGAGAGAAGAAGGAGAGTGAGTGAGGGAGAGAGAGAGAAGAAGGAGAATAAGTGAGGGAGGGAAAGAGAAGAAGGAGAGTGAATGAGGGAGAGAGAAGCAGGAGACTGAGTGAGGGAGATAGAGTGAGAAAAGGGAGAGTGAGTGAGGGACAGAGAGAGAAGAAGGAGATTGAGTGAGGGAGAGAGAGAGAAGAAGGAGAGTGAATGAGGGAGAGAGAGAAGAAGGAGAGTGAGTGAGGGAGAGAGAGAAGAAGGAGGGGAGTGAGAGAGTGAGAAGGAGAAGAGTGAGTGAGGGAGGCAGAGAGAGAGAAGAGGTGGCTCCAGCTTCTCGTGCCTGGCTGTGTGAGGGGGAATAGAGGAAGGAAGTACAGATAGTAAGAAGGCCAGGAACACTAGAGTGATGATAAAGACCTCTTTCCTCTTCCAGCGGCTGCTCGCACATCTCCGGCTCCTTGTAGCACTTTATGTGCCTTTTTTTCTGTCTGAGTGACACCCTAACCCCCCACCCCCACCCCCCTCGCCGGCTTCCTCTCTTTTGGCATAAAAGTTAAAGAGCATGGCTAACCAGCTGGAGCCCAGAAAAATCAAACCCGAGCCGCAGCATCAGGGCCTGCTTTCAGGGCCCCAGCGCCTCAAAAAAGCTCTAATGATGACTGATTATTTCTTTATTTATTTCCCCTTTTATTTATTTATTTATTTATTCATGCTCCTCTTTTTCTTTCTTTTTTTCCCCCTCACTCTTTTGAACTCGGCCGATGCAGGCGAGAACAAACGGCGTGTGTGAGAGCTCTCAGTGTTGTAAATGGTCTGTGTCGATCACGCCGGAATTTATCCGGCGGTGGGGGGGCAGGCTTTCATCTCTCCCTCCATTTCTCTGTCTGTCTTTCTCTCCCGCGTGCTCCCCCTCCCTTCGCCACGCGCTCTTCTCCATCATGTTTTGTGGTAAAGCCGGCCTAATGGACTCCTCATTATTCTTGGGGGAGAGGAGTGTGGAAGTATGTGTTTTTTGACTCCGTTCCTGATCCTAATTAGGAGAGAGACCCTGAACTTGATGCGGAGACCACAAAGTTGGGAACAGCATGTGTGCCTCTTCTCTCACTACAACTTCCTCCGTCAGCCAGAGACGAGGTCGCTCGCGCTAAATTGACTGAGCGCGGAAGTGTGGAGTGTGTTTGATATTCAGAGTAACACACACACACGAGCTCACACGCTGACAAACTCCGAGACCCTTTACTTTAACTGTTTAGAGCAGGTGGAGTTATTCTGTCTGACCTGTAACCCCCCTCCTCTTGTACTCTCTCCCTGTCTCTATCTCTCTCTTCACTTTTTCTCTCCTTTCTCTCTCCTTTTTACTCTCTTTCTCCTCTCTCTCTCTTTATTCTATCTCACTATTTCTTTCCCTCTCTTTACCCTCTCTCCCTCTTTCTTTATCTTTACTCTCTCACCCTGTATCTTTACCCTCTCCCTCTTTCTTTATCTCTACTCTCTCAACCTATATCTTTACCCTCTCCCTCTTTCTTTATCTCTACTGTCACACCTTCTCCCTTTACTCTTATCTCTCTCTCTTTCTCTCTTACCCACCCTCTTTCTATAACCTCTCTCTTTCTTTCTCTCTTTAACCTCCTTCACACACTCATCCTCTTTCTCCTTTCTCTCTCTGCCCCCTTTTTCTTTGTCTCTCTCTCTCTCTCTCTCTCTCTCCCTCTGCATTTTCTCTCTGGCTCTTTCTTTTTACCCCTCTTTGTTCTATCTCTCTCACTCTCACTGTCTCTCTCTCACTCTCTCTCTCATTCTGTCTCTCTCTATCTTCTCACAGCCCTGAAGGATGCTCGCTTTCAGCTGGTCAACTTCTCAGACAATGAGCTGCGTGTGGCTCTGTCCAACGTGTCTCTTTCAGATGAGGGCCGATACGTGTGCCAGCTCTACACAGATCCTCCACAGGAGGCCTACGCCGACATCACTGTGCTGAGTATGAAACACACACACACACACACACACACACACACAAAATTTGTCCTTTAAAATCATTTGTAGTTTTGCAGAGAGCTCTTTTTATGAATTGGATCCCATCACAGAAATACCTAGTCTTCTTTAACCGAAACCTGAACAAGATATAAACAGAACACATCAGGAAGAACTCTGTTCTGTTATTCTGATTTATACAACTATGTGTTACTGATAGAACCATAAAACTGCCGCAATAAAACTGTCAGGTTCAGCTTAACTTTTATATTTGCCACATTGTGTGTGTGGTTTTATTTGATTTCACAGTCCATCTTATTTGCCCAGTTGTGTTCTTTTTGTTTCTGGCTAATTCCAGTTTGTTTAGCTACAGAGTAAAAAAAAAAACTTGCGTAGGGGCAGCAACAGGTTTGGAATTTGATGTCATCCTGCTGTCACACTCTTCTTCAGAATCCAAAAACAGGCTGCCGTAATTCTCTTACAGAGCAGGGATTGCCAAGTAGTTGCCCACAGACCAAATGTGGCCTGAGCAAGTTTTCTCTGGCCCCAGCCCACTCTCCAAAACTGTCTTTCACATCTCTTCATATGATAATACGAGTAAACTGCTCAACACTTTTCTAGCATCAATTAATGATGTGCATTCTGACTGAATTTTGATATTCAAGTAAGAGTTATGAACAGATTTGGTTGACTGCAGAGAAGGAAAACTACTTTGGCCAAAATTAACAGTAGGCTTAATATTTTACAGTATAGCACTGTTGTTAGGAGGCTGCTGTGTTCTTCTGTTATAGTAACTGTTACTGTTGAGTAATTGATTTGACATATTTGACAGTTTGGCTATATATGGGCCATTCAACTAAATTAGTTCAAACTGTGGTCCCACAGTAAAAAAACAAACCAAAAAAAAAAGTTTTTAGAGCTTGGATATTTATAAAGATTGTTATAATCTATATCTATTTAAACCTAATGCATTAATTGAAATAGTAAAAAGCGTAATATAAGGGAGGTGACTTTCCCAAATCCTAACCCCTAAATTTCAACTTACAGTAATACATTTTTTTGTTTTTTTTGTTTTTTTAAAAAATACCTTTTTGACTTCTAAAGTGAAAATGAAAGATTTAGACTTATCATGAGTTTAATTTTTAAGACCAACTTCATTTAAAAGAAATACTTTCCCACTTTTATGTGACTAGTGAAACACAAAGAGTCCTTAGATGAAGCCATGTTTTAGCCACACCCCTGCATTTTAGAGCAGGAGGTGAGACTGCATCCCTGTTCCTCATGGCCACATGGTGAGTAGATCTCATTGTTTTGAAGATGTTCAGAAGTCTGAAAATCAGTGTGTAACATTAAGAATTAATACTACTAAAAAACTACACATATTTTCTACAATTAAGAAAACTTTTTTGATTTTATGTGCGACAGCTGTTCAAAGCTGTATTTGCTAGTAATGTACCGGCTAGTGTTTTTGACTTATGCTCAAAATTAGCCAAAATTGTTGCTACTGAAACAGTCACTACCAAAACATTTGGTAAAGTTTCAGAGGCTTTGTAATTGTTTTGTTTTGGTAGTGTCAAAATGGAATGCTCAATGATATATTTTAATAAAAAACATAATTAAGGTATTGGGTCACTCAAAGCAAAAGAAATTTAAGTCTGAAGTGTTACTCCAGCGTTAAACCAATTCAGTAAAATGATCCATATATACAGCAATCTAGCCCAAAGAGTATTTGCTCTGCAGGAATTTAACCCCATGTCAAATCTATCTTATGACCCCTGTTATGTAATGTGTCCATTTTCTGTTTTTCTATGAGCTAAATTAGAAACGTGACCAAAATGGATCCTTATTTGCGTTTTAGGGTACTGTTGAGTACCTCAGCCAGTTTTTTCTTAGTGTCTGAATTATAAATTGGAATCTCAGAGTGATTTTGAGGATACATTTATCTCCTATGATGCACCGTAATTTCTAGTGAACGCCATAGATTACTACATTAGCAGGATACGTACCAAAAGACATTGTGTGTCTCATTATTATGCATTGGACAAAGGAACATTACGTTAACGATGGCCGCTAAGCCTCTGAAAACCAAGCTTATCAAACTCTGTTGATTCTCTGGAGCAACACTGCAGAAAAAAAAACAGCAGCTTTCTACAGCTAAAAACAAATACTCTAATGCATTTAATGCCTGATGTTCATTAAAAAGCACTAAGACTGACTGGTAAGTGTAGGTTACTGCAGTCATTGACCAATAGGTAAATGTGTACCCTAGTCAAGCTTATTTTATCTTTGTCCCCTGCACTTTTCAAAATACTACAACCTACGAATAAGAAGCCAGCTTCAGCCTCGCATGCAACTCATGTTGGTTTCTTCATGCGACGAGTGAGTGGTGGCGCAGGCTGGTGATGAGAATGTGTCCAAATTAATTTACTGATTCATCTTTTTTGTGGCTATTTAGTAACCTAATAGTTATTGTTTTCCATATAGTGCAAGATCAATAAGGGAGTAGAGATACATTTTGGTCACAGCCCACATAACAGTTAATTGTAGCGTAAAATGAGTTACTGAGCAACCAGTTCTTGGTGGAATGATACTGTCATTGTGAAAAAAACATACTGTTATTTGTGATAGAACGCTTCAGATTGTGTTGTATGAACTTATTGTTGTTTAGTATCTGATAAAATATGTTTGTTTTTGGTTTTTGTTTTTTTTTACTAAACCATACTTGTATTATTCCACTGAGCACTGCTGCTACATGGTCACCTTCATTTTTTTAGCAGAAAAAATTACTGATACTACTAATAAGCTTTGGGGCTTCTTTACTTAATTTCTCTTTGCAACACTAAAAAAAAAAAACACCATAAAATTCTCAAGGACAGGTGTTATCGCAAGTAACATCACGACTGTGATTATCTACGGCCAAATAATGCACTCCCTCTCGGGTTCTAGTGCCGAAGTATGTCAGTGTTAAATGCATTGACGGGGCGTGATAGAGGCCCCAAGAGAGTAAGAGTAAGCCCAGAGCCCCTTAATACCTGAATACAGCCCTGAACAAATGCACACTGTCTCTTCTCTGCCATCCATTCAGCTGAAGAAATTAGCAGCATCAGTCTGTGCTCCCTGAATGTGTCCTTGTCTTGTTCTTTGTAATGGACAGAAGCTCAGAATATTCAATAATGCAGCAGCTCTGAAGACTGTAGGGCTTCTGTGTTTCATTCAGAGATGCTTTTATTATCAATCACTAAAGAGGGAAGGCTCTTATGAGTCAGTGTGTCAGAAGAAAATACAACATATTCATCCTAACAGGGGGCCTGTGATGAAGTCAAACCCGAGCCAGTCTGCTGCATCATGGCTACAGCAGTTCTCTTAGCCTACATACAAACACACACTCTTTAGAGGAGCTGCTGAAAGCCCTCTAAAATCTCCACAAACACTTCACCTGCCACATCCTATGAGGACTCAGCTGCGAGGCCTGGTGGAGCCCTTCAGAGCAATTACGTTGCGTGTGTGAGTGTGTATGTTTGTGGAAATGCGAGTTTTGATATTTTGCTTTTTTGAAACGCAGTTTGGAGAAACTCGCAGGTACTTAAAGGTAATTATTGCAGAGTGATTGTGGGATTTGAACAGCAGAGTGTGTGGCTGTATGCCGGTAGTTGGCTGGCTCCGGCTCCAAAGCAATGTAGGCCCAGGCTAAATCGGGCTGCCTGAACACTGTCCTGCTGATTCGCAACTGAGAGAAAGCACAGTGTTGGCTGTGTTGCTGAAAACCAGCACAAACACTCTCTAGAAGGCTTTGAGATTCCAGGAGGTGGATTGAAGAAAATATTCCAATAATTGCGAGCGTCCTAGAAAGAGGCAATTAACTACAATTAAGCTTCCAGTAAACCCATGGACTGCAATTACCTTGAAGAGCCCGTATCCTACTTTTTTTTTGCATTAAAAGTTTTCCCCTGATGTCCACTTAGGACATTTGTGTGGTTTTCTATACGAAAAACAGTCAAAATTCATTTTTATGGGACAATTTTCCAACCTCTCTTTATCCCTTAGAATTAAACAGGCTGTTTTTGGTATTGTGCCTTTAAGACAGATACATGTAAATGAGCTCTTTTCTGATTGGCCTTGTATTGTGCCTCTTTCAAAAACATGTCCGGGCTGAAACACTCCTTATAACTTCAGTATGAAAAGAAGCAGCTAAACTGCTGTAGGCTGAATAGGTGGCTATGTAAATGTGTTGTTTTTTGTGACATCATAAAAACAATGCATCCAAAAATGATATATATGGACTGTGTGGACTAGAGAGTGATGATGTTTACATACTACATCAAACTTTCCTTTCAAAAACATTAAGGAAATGAAGGTTTTCCTTTAAATCTATGCTATGAGGTACTTTATATAGCTTTTAGTTTGCATAATCATATCATCGCTGTCAAATCAAGACCTCATGAGTGACCTCATTGTGTGTATATCTTATGATTAATAGACAAAAATTTTTATTAAATGGAATTACATTAACCTTAAACGTTAAGAATGTTTTTGCTAGTGACGTTTCGATTCTGTTGGAACGCTTGTGTTTGAAGCAGAGGTTTCAAAACAGTTTGAAACGCACCCTCTCTGCGTCATCATGGATAGCGTTCAGCTCTTTCCAATCAGTGCCTCTGCTCTGACACAATAACACTGATTGCATGTGTCTTGTTCTTGTATATTATTAACAACATGCTAAAATAATCAGGAAAGCATTTTCACATTTTTGTCAATACAATTTGGAAAAGTGTTGTTGAATATGAGAGAGAGATTCAGCCTGTTCAGCGTTTGGCATTACAAGCCCTTTTTGGTCTCAACCCTACTTTCACTTTTTTAGAATCCTCAACACCAGTGGAATTATATAAACAGGCTAAGCTTATTAGATTATTTTTACATCTCTGTAAATCCATACATGTTCTATTCTATCCACATGTATGTAATGTCCAGATGTGAAATTGTACATATGTTGCTAGTATATAAGCATTCCTCATACCATTAGCATGTATGACATCAGGTCACGTGTGAAAGCCAGGTTTCGAACCTTCACATCAGATCTGAACAACTGACTCATTTTGCTTGAACCATTTGCATGATTTGATATGACATTACTATTTTTTTCCTTCTCTTGTAAACTTGCCATTTTAAAAATATTGGTTATTTAAAAACATGGTTTTGTTACCATATTTGACCCTTAGAGGTCAGACTCATCACCAGTGATAAAGGTAAAGCATGCTATTGAGGTTCTAAACTGACAACAGATGCAGTATTTGTGTTTACAAGTGAAAGAGGAGGTATTTTTTCATGGTTTGAATTTGACAAAATTTTTCAGTTTTACTTTCTCCTTGTGTTAAACACTGAAACCAATGGGAAAAAAAACAAAAACAAAACAAAGGCAGACTCAGGTCTACCAGTACAGAATGTAAAATTAATGCAAATGTACTTCATTGTGTAACTATGTTATTCTTTATATGATATCAAGTATGTAATAGCATTTAAATAATTACATAATGTAAATGTAGAGCAAAACGATAATAATAACTCTAAACCTCTATTGGTTCATTTTGAACATCCTAGAAAGAGCCAGTTAACTATATTTGAACTTAAGATGCACCCATGGGCCTTAATTACCCTGAATCTATGCCACAGCATACCTTACACTTGACTCATAGTTTGCATGTTGATATAAACCAAATGATGCTAATGCTAATTATGACCACACACCATACTGACACTTATGAATCATGGGTTTAATAATTTTAATAATTTACTTAATCATTTTTCACTCATCACTCATTCAAACAAGCAGAGAAAATCTGTCAGGAATGCAGATTCCAAACTCTCAATAGATCCCACATTTGTTTTGACAAATAGAGGAAGAGACATTTTGTTCTAATTTGAATTTGATGGAAAATTATTGCTGTGCAATAATGTAAACCAAATGTAAATGTAATTCATTATGTAACTAACTATGATAAATGATATAATTGTATACTCATATTTAAGTAATTATGCAACGTGAATAAGGAACACAGCGATTGTAATAACAACTCAAGACTTCAAAGGGTTAATTGTAAACATCCTAGAAAGAGCCAGTTAACTCTAATTGATCTCCAGATGTACACATGGGCTATAATTACCTTGAATCTACGCCAGAACCTGCATTATAGTTAGTGCATAGTGCTTTGCACATTCATATCAACCAAACAATACAGATGCTGATACTAATTATCATCTCAGATTCTTTTCCCCAGAATAAACTTGGGGTTTGTTCCATTGAAACAGTTTTATAGAAAGTGCTCATTTCATTCTGCGCTTATGTTATATGCTCTAGAGCAGTGTTCCACATATTTATTACAACAGGTACACAAACAACCTTGTCCTCATGTGGTGGGCAAAGGGCTTTTTATTATTAAATTATATTGTCTTTAAAAAACTAAAACCTGTTTGTTTCTAACGTGGAATGGTGATTGTTTCCAATGGTCTGTGATTGCTAATGTTAGCACTTTGCACATCAGTTATTGGTTAAGACTAAGACTAATTATAACTAGAGTAACTGCTATAAGTAACTAAAACTAGGCTAACACAGAACTAGCTAATGCTAAAGGTTTGGCCTCAAAGCTCTCAAATAAACTAAAAAAAAGAGAGGCATAAGTTTTTGATTCCATAGTTTGTTTTTATTAACCCTGTCAAGCCTATCAAATCAACTTCTTGCCTGCAGAATATTCAAGGTGTTTTCTCTTTCTGGCTCTTTTTTAATGAAACAAACTCTGCTCTGTTAAAGTGAATCTGAAAGGAAAATAGCTGCAGATGACCTTGTTGCATTTAGTGTTCACAGTGTAAGCTAACTTTAAAAGACTCAGTTCTCTTTGTGGTTCTCTTTAGCAGTGATAATACCTTAGACCACTTGTTATTCTCCTTTAGAATGCAGAGCCCAACTGGGTAACACCAGATTATACGTACTGTTCATCATGTAACAGATCTGATTGGCTGAATCATGTTTGAGGCTGAAATAAAATACTGTAATTGCAGCTAATTATTAGAAACCATAAACAGTTACTCCTGCTCATGAAATCATCTTTGATCCAAATTATTTATAATGAACATGGTGTTTTATTAGACTGTATTTTATTCTACTGTATATTACATTGTCATTTTATAAAAGCAATAGGCCACTTCAGGCCATGCATTACAGGGATTTCACCATGGATGACTATGGGACCACTTGAAATGCTGAAATGGTCTAAGTGTGAAAACACACTCAGAGACTTTCTGTGTGCTGCTTTGTTTCCTGTCACTGCCTACAATAATCACAAGGCTGCCTTTTATTGTTGCATTCACTCTGATTTCTGAGCGATTGTGCACACATTCAGAACAGAATTCAGATCGTTAGGTGTCTGTTATTAATCAATTTATTCTGACTGGCAATAAAAGATGCCTCATGTATTAACTGTATTAGTATTTGTATGTTTTCTTGCTCAAAAAAGGTAGTTTGTGAGAAACAACATAAACAATAGCTATGTTTCCATCCAAAGGATTTTTTTTTTATTATTTGTCAATGTGGGTTATGTCAACACAACTTTTTTCTGTTAAACTTTAGTGTATAAATTGTTTGTCAATATCTGAAATGTTGCAAAAACATACTGGAATTGTACTTTTTTTAAAAAAAAGCACATTCGTTTAGTGTCATGTGAGGAATTATGAGGAAATCAGGGAAGCCAAAGGTACACAAGTTGCAGCAAATGTGAAATTAGAGATGGATTTTTTCATCATAAACCAAAACTTTTCAACCCTTGATATTTGCACAGAAAGCTGATGAAAACATAGCTAGTGTCACTGCCCTGACAGTGGTCCACCAGCTAGATAATATCTGGTCAGTGGTGGTCCTACGGTGTTCCCTTTTCAGTGATGGATGGGGTAGAGGGGCACTGATACATTGTACAGCAACAGATGGGCTACAGTCAGTAACTGTACACCTATAAGTACATCTGTTTGGTAGATGTACCTGATTAAATGATAAATGAGTGGAAGCACAGGGTAGGTGTTTCTAATAAACTGGCAGCTCAGCAGTGATGGCTGTTTGACGGTTCGCTCTGTAAAAGTATGCTGTTTCTGTGTGCCCCTCCCAGTCCCACCAGGCAACCCAATCATCGAGTCCCGCGAGGACATTGTGAGTGAGGGCAATGAGACAGAGATAACCTGCACGGCCATGGGCAGCAAACCTGCCGCCACCATCAGATGGATGAAGGGAGACAAAGAGCTACAAGGTGGGTTATGACACTCGCATCCTGAACACGATACACATGGCCCCTGCTTGTCTGGGTGCTCTCCCTCTGCCCTCGAGGTCCACCGCTTCTGCTGCCCGTTTTTTATTTCAGTTTTATAACTCTTTCCTTCTTTGTGATGTGACATATTTCTTCATTCTGATTGGATACCCAGCTGTCACATACCGTACCATTCAAATGTTTGGACTCTTTGAATGGATGTTGTACTTAATCATAACTCATTTTGATCTAAAAGCTTAACAACAGAAATGTCCTTTAAAGGCAGCAGATTGTCTTTTTAGCCGAATGCGCAGTGATTTGAGTTCATGTAGTGTGGTGGGCGCTGCTGGCTAAACAGAGCTCTTAATAACCGCATCATTTGTCCAAAGACCTCTCCGCTGGCTGTGATTGGTCTGCATGGTGTCACGTGGTTATCTGCGTCACCCCATGGAGCCTCTAGCTGTGCTGAGACATGCATGTTCCTTTCAATTATAGGACAAAGTTATAGTGGTACCTAATCATATCTTTTGTTGTTTGAAGTACACTGCAGGCTTCCGGCTTAAGTGCTTCAAATGAGTGTTGAAGACAAATATAAATAGAGAAGTTGATGCCTATAAGTTTGTTTCCAAAACAAAAAATTTAATAAAATATAACCCTCTGCCCCACTCCACTAAAAACAACTAGTTTTTAGCCTCCAACAAGTGTTCCGCATATGTGGAGGTTCTTCAGGCCTGCTGGAAAAGCATCCTAAGTGGCCTCATGAAACTGCTTGAGGGAATGCCAAGAATGTGCATCTCAATCTAAATCTGCATCAAGCCAAAGAGTGGTTACTTTGAGGAGTCTAAAATATAAGCTTTAATTATTTAACAATTTTTGGTCACTATGCAATTCTGTGTGTTTTATTGCATAGTCCTGATGATCGCGCTGTTATTGTAAATTGTGCAAAAACAGTAAAACTAGAGAAAAACGCTTTATGGGTCTAAATCTTTTGATGGGTACTGCAGGCTGTTCGAACACCTATTTTTCACCTGTGCTCTATTGAGAGACTTGCTCTACGCTGCTCAACACCTTCTCATTTAAAAGCTTCTTGCAGGGCTGCAGCTCTGTGCAGGAGAGCCGCTGAGACTGAATGAAAGACAGCACTGAGACACAGGGCTGTCTAGACAAGAACACATTACCTGTTACAGAGCAGGGGAGCTATTGAACAGTACAGAACCAGAACCAGGCAGTGAGCGATGAACCACACGCATGAATTTACCCTGGACCTGATGTAAATTGGTGACAGGCCAAATCTTTTTTGCCTAGAATTGAAAGCAGAACTATTTAATGTTGAGTCTGATATATTCTATGGCAGGGTGCGCACTTCAGCCACACAGTGCAGCCTTTGTGAATGAAAAAAAAATGCAATATAGTAAAAACAGTCCAGTGTAGGTAGGACACACTGCATGGGCAAAAGTATGTGGACATCTTTTTTAATTATTGAGGTTAGGTGTTTCAGCCAGACCCAATGCTAACAGGTGTATAAAATTAAGCATATAGTTGTGCAGTGTCCATAGATAAACATTGGCATTAGATTGGGTCATACTGACCTTAAACGTCCTGTGACACTTATATTATATCACTTATGCTATGTTGCATCACACCACTGGAAGCAACATCACCACGAAAACTGTGCACTGGGAGCTTTATAAAATGGGTTTCTATGGCCGAGCAGCTGGACACAAGCCTATGATCACTATATGCAATGCCAAGTGTCGGCTGGAGTGGTGTAAAGCACACCACCACTGGACTCTGGAGCAGTGGAAATGTTCTCTGGAATGATGAATCACGCTTCACTATCTGGCCTCTTAGTTCCATTGAAGGGTAGTGTTAATGCTGCAGCATACGGAGACATTTAATGCTTTCAACTTTGTGACCAACAGTTTGGAGAAGGCTCTTTACTTTACATTGCTTAAGTTGCTTTAACATGCGCAAAGCTCTCAGCTTTGACATCTTACTTTTAGCTCTGCTTGGGCTGCTGAATGGCACAGTCATCTAAGTGTTGGCCGCATCATTGGGAGATTACGAGTTCAATCCCTGGTGAAGCCATAGCCATCTGTGGCTGGTAGTCCAAGAGAGCATAACTGGCCTCCACCCTCACTCAGCGCAGTGTTAGCCAAAGGCTTTAACTTTCCAATTTGGTACCATTGTGTAACAGAGGGAGACCTAGCTAACTAAGGATAGGGGGTGGGTGGAATTGGACTTCACTCTCTATCTATCTGTCTGTCTATCTCTCTCTCTCTCTCTATATATATATATATGTATATATATATATATGTGTGTATATATATATATATATATATATATATATATATATATATATATATTAGGGGTGGGAATCTCTAGGTACCTCACAATTCGATTCGATTACGATTCAGAGGGCTGTGATGCGATTATAAAACGATTATCGATGCATCTCGATGCATCTTTTTTTTCTTTTTTGTCTGGGGACTTGGTAGTTTTAAAGCAAAAGTGTTTGTAATGATCCATAATGAGTTTACTTCCAATATCTTTTATTAATAAATCAAATAGAATAGTTATGTGGCAAGTGAACTAGAAGGCTCTCATTCAGTGCTCTTGTTTGGAGCACATCTGCATTTCATCTGTGATAAAATGCGCTGTTAGGGTAACATAAGGTCCAGTGGTAATGGATGTCCACGCAGCACGTTATAGCCATCCTACCCATTTTCTTTAGTGATTGTATAACTTTTTTTTTGGTCTCGTTGTAGAAAGGGGGGGATCGCTGTGTCAGTAAAATATCTTCGAGACTGGATGTTGAATCTCGGCTCCGAAGTGTGCGTAGCGTGAAAGCCCTGGTTCTCAATGACTGAGAACTGGCGTACAGACCGCAGGTCACATAGCAACGAAAGTCTTGCCTGGCTAGTAGCTAAGAAAAGACAGACAAAGATTTAAGACGAACATTTGGAGTTGAATGGACTTATTCGCATTTATAAGCAGCGCAGTTGGTTTCCTGGTACGTTAAATCTGCAACGAGAGACTGTCAGACACTAAAAAGTCGCAAAGATGAAATCAGCTTCTCTTTCAAATTTTTCCATTCCACCTTAAATGGTGCAGCAGTCACATTCGGCGCCTCAGGCAGAATTTAAGGTGGAACGGGAAAATTCGAACGAGAAGCTGGAGAATTAGACGCGACTTCACCCTCGTAAAACAGTCGAACGTTGAGAGACATTTAACTGATCTACTTCTGAGGAAAAGTTTCCTTTTGGAGATGGGAGCAAAGCGGCTATTAAAGCTTAAAGTAGAGCGAAGTAAACTGCGTTTTCGTTTATATTGTTTAGCCTTTACTAGGACATTATCACATACACATGGACATTAAATGTTGTGGCTTAATTTTTGTTGAAAGGACAAAATGGCTCTTCTTATCATTTGGGTTGTGACTCCTGACCTGACCTGGCTTTTAATGCAGAGGGTGCCGGTCAGATTTCTCACTCATCCACTTGTGTTTTTGTTATGTGCCGTCAGAGAGTGTCTGGGCGCTGCGCTTACCCCCTTACCCACAAGTTCCTCCTTTAACGTTCCGTCAACATTACATTATAAATTAAATATTTAGAAAATCGTTTTTTGACGTTTATGAATTGATTCAGAATCGTTCACGTCCGCATCGCGATGCATCTAAGAATCGAGTTTTTCCCCCACCCCTAATATATATATATATATATATATGCTCTAAGAGCGCAAAGGGTGAAATAAGCATAAGGAAATATTTCAGTTGGATCAGGTATAATATGACTATTACTGATACCGACTCTGATGCAGATATTTCAGATCAGGACATCCGTCTGTATATTAAGCTTTCTGGTTTTAACAAGTGCAGTTATTACAGTCATCTCTGTTGTAATCACACGTCCCAACCTGCTAATTTTGCCCTGGAATGGTTTAACGTTGGCCAGTCCGACAGCAGTCATGATGTACATGTTCTCCTCAGAGAACTGGGCAGTGGTGTATGGGTTTTCTGCACTCATTTAGAAGAATGAATGAATGGGTGTGAAGGAGTGGGTGGAAATGAGTGAGTAAAATAATGGAGTAAAGAAGAGACACGAGCAGACTAGCGCTGGCACTCACCGCCTGGAAATTGCTTTTGGCCCCTGGCGCCTTGCGGATTTATTTTTAATTAAATGTCCTCATCATTCAGCCTAATTACCTTTAGGATAATCAGGGCTTTTTTAAATATCATTTAAAGGTTACACCCATCCAGCCCTGGAATGTAAACTCAGCTGCCCCGCCATGCAAAGCCCTGGACTCAACATGCGCGCACACATACACACACTCAGACTATCTCCGCGCCTTGTTTTATGCTGCATTTAAAATTTCTCTTTCACACTGGGCCTCTGCGCTGATACGCCAGCACGAGCAAGACGAGTTAAATGAAAGTCAAGGAACAATGGAGTTAAAAGCGGCCGAGTTATTAATCTCCTCCTGCCAGACGAGAGGCGGAGGGGGGTGGGGTGATGGCCAGCGGGGGCCTAGACCGTCATTAGCCCACTGTCTACACCCAAAAATATAACCTACCATTTCAATTAGCCCGCCAAGCTCAGCTAAAACACTCTTAATGGATAAAAAATGTATTTTTCGGAGGCGTGTGGCATTCAAGAAAGTTTCTTCAGCGCCCCAAGTTCACCTCTAAATCCTCAGCTCATTCCCCTAACGAGGCGAAATTACAAGGGAACGTGGAGAAGGATGGAAGATGAAGGGAGCACAGAAAAAGAGCAGGATCCGAGCAGGTTAAGTGCCGAAATCAATAGGGGCGGGATTTCCTTTGATGTTCAGCCTACTGTAGCAGCCCTAATCAGAGCGTGCTTTTGCATTTCAAAAAACACAGAGATGTTATTGAGATGAAGAAACGTGTGAATGACAGTGATTGACCTGTGATTATCTCTCTATCCACTGTGATTGTGCCATTGTGGGAGGGTTGACGTTGCAATGAGAAAAACACCAGCTCTATTAGGGCACTCCTGAATCTGCGAGGATGATCACAGTCTGGAACATTTCTTCCCCCTCTGATTATCTTTTCTTTTGTAGGAATGATGCATGCAGTCAGACTGAGCTAGGACATTAGGCTGAAGACTGAATAGAACTGTAGTGCTGTAGTGTTTCAGTGCTGTGAGGAGCTGTTTGTTAATCTCATGTGAAAGGCTCATCATTAACAGTGTATTGATATGGATTATTGGTCAGCATGTTAGTGGTGATTTGCGGGAGCACCTGTGTGCTGAGCCTCGTCTCTGTGTGCCAGCTGTCAGCCTCTGAAAGAGCACAACCTGTAGCTCTGATTACTCCACACTGACGTCAGTATCTCTGCAGCACTCTGCCTTTCTCTTTCTCTTCTTTCTTTCATTCTTGCTTTGTTTTTATGTAAAGTTTTTTTTTTCATTTCTGACTTTCTGTTATTTCTGTTTGTTCCTTTCTTTCTTTCTTTTGTTCCTTTTCATTTATATATACACTATAAAGGTATTGGGACAACCCTCCTAATTGTTACAGCCACACTTATTGCCAACAGGTGGATAAAATTTAGCACATAGCCTTGCAGTCTTGATAGACAAACGCTGGCAGTAGAATGGGTTGTACTGTTGAGTTCAGTGGCTTTAAACATGGCACTGTCATAGTTACCGTCTACTGTTATGGTAAATATCTACTGTCATAGTAGATGCTACCTTGGCCACAAGTCAGTATATAAATTTCTGTCCTGCTAGATCTGCCCCTGTCAACTGTAAGTGCTATTATTGTGAAATGGAAGCATCTAGGAGCAACAACAGCTTAGCCATGAAGCAGTAGACCACACAAACTCACGGCGAGTGCCTATTCTCTGTTGAATCACTCACTAAAGAGTTCCAAATTGCCTTTGGAAGCAACATCAGCTAAAGAACTGTGTGTTAAGAGCTTAACTAAAGTTTCTATGGCCAAGCAGCTACACACAAGCCAGATCGAAGTGCACAATGCCAAGCGACAGGGGGGAGTGGTGTAAAACACGCTGCCACTGGACTTTGGAGCAGTGAAAACATATTCTGTGGCGTGATAAATCATACTTCTCTGTCTAGCAGTCTGATGGACGAATCTGGATTTTGCGAATGCCAGGAGAACGTTACCTGCCTGACTGCATTGTGCAAACTATACATTTTGGTAGAGGAGGGATAATGCTGTGGGGGTTTTTAGGGGTTAGCCTAGACCCCTTAGTTCTAGCAAAGGGAAGTCTTAATGCTTCAGCAGACCAAGACATTTTGGACAATTGAATGCTTCCAGCTTTGTGTAAACAGTTTGGGGAAGGCCCTTTTCTGTTCCAGCATGACTGACCCTAGTGCACAAAGCCAGGTCCATAAAAGCATGGCTGAGTGAGTTTGTTGTGGAAGAACTTGACTTGCCTGCACAGAGTCCTGACCTCAACCCCATCGAACACCTAGAACAGAGATTGCGAGCCAGGCCCTCTTGTCCAACATCAGTGTCTGACCTCACAAATGCTCTTCTGGATGAATGGGCAAAAATTCCCACAGACACACTCCAAAATCTTGTAGAAAGCTTCCCAGAAGAGTGGACAGTGTTATAGCTGGAAAGGGGGTACCAACTCAATATTAATGCCTATGGATTTAGAATAGGATGTCATAAAATCTCCTGTAGTTGTAATGTATAGGGGTGTGTGTGTGTGTGTGTGTGTGTGTGTGTATACACACACCATCGTAGCAACTCTGCCAATACTTTTGATAATTTTCTCCTTTCTTGCCCTCTTTTTTCTCTCTCTCTCTCTCTCTCTCTCTCTCTCTCTCTCTCTCTCTCTCTCTCTCTCTTTGGATCTGCACATTGACTAAGAGCTCTTTGTGTACTGCAGGTTTAGTGCTGTTGGAATCAGGGCCTGCTGGTCAGAGCAGATACACCATATTTTCATAAAACACAAACTGTGCAGCCAATGAGTCCAGCTAACAGCCCCTGACAGCAAGCAATTTAGGTTGATTCAGCCCTGCTGACCGATGTGGAGGACATTCTTGCCTCGGTGTACTCCCAAGGTTGTGCTTCATGTCCCGCTGCAGTGGGCTATTAACTCTACACATGTTGTTGATATGCTGAGTTACAGTGTGCCACGTATCCTTGAGAGGCACATTTAGTGTCTGCGTGAACAGGGCATTTGCATTCTTTATGCTGTTGTTAACCCGGCTGAATGAACTCACAGCGAGTTCAGAGGAGGCACAGCAGCAACAGCAGCACATTATTGACTGCTGCTCTTTCTCCTTCAACAAGGTGAATAAATGTACAACTGATGTACAGCACAAAAATAGAGAGAATGTAGAGCTGCGTAAGCACGCTACAGCCGTTTTCTAACGCACCTTTCTCTCACTGTTTCTCTCCCAGGGAAGTCTAAAGTGGAGGTCACATATGACAGGATGTACACTGTGACCAGCTTGTTAAGGTTCACTGTTACAAAGGAAGACGATGGAGTTCCTGTGGTCTGCATCGTAGACCATCCAGCAGTGAAGGATTTCCAGGCCCAGAAATACCTAGAAGTACAGTGTAAGTAGACTACAGGAATATAATGTAATGTAACGTCAGTGCAGAAAACAGACAGTGATATGTTTATTAACCCCTTGATACAGTTCTTAATATGTAATGAAGAGTGTCAGAAACTAAGGCATGAGTTCATATCAGGACCCTTAGTGTTTAAGGAGTTAATATAGAACAAAAATGTTTGACTAAATATGTGCAGCAATAGTGTTTCACCAACTGACTCTTAATTTGTTGTGCTCCTGGTGATGATCCTGCACAGTTTTATTACAGCTCTAATCATATCCACCTGATTTTCACATTCAGAAACTCCTGAAGGCTTGATTAACCAAATCAGGCTTGTTGATTTAAGACTTTAAAATGAATTTTAAACTTTTATCAACAAACAGCGTGAAGACTTTTTTAGCCCACACCTGGATTAAAATATAAGATTTTTTATATTGTAAAAGAGGTTGAAGTAGAACAGGCCAGTGAGATTTCACAGCAGTGAAAGTTGTGTGTGTAAGTCAGAGAATTGATACCTGTACCATACCTTTTGGTGGCTGTAACATGCCACTTTTTTGAGGCATGTAAACTCACAGTGAGAGCTGGCCAGGTTAAACTACAGCCTTCCACACAATGGTGTTAGTTTTAACAGTGTTACAATCAAGCCACCCAAAGTAAACAATGGAGAAATTAATATTTTCCTCATAAAAAGTTAAGAACAGTTCATAATTTGTCACTTTTTTTATACACATCAAAAATGTACTATAAACATTATGTAAATAAAATCTGTTTACATTTTGTTATACTGATATTTGTTCTACTGTTTTGTGGTCAAAATTAAATTTGCCAGTGTTTGTTTTGATGAAAATATTTTATGTATTTACTTTGCAAAGCTAATCTGGATCAGAAAACACAGAATAATATTGCATTAATTTTGTTTGCATCATTTTACCAGACTTTATTAGTGACTGTTACTACTAGCCGCTCAGTCCGTCACAGTTAGCCCTACCTATGGGGTAAATTTTAGCATTTCCGCTCTTCACTTTCAGCTGATAATGTATCAAACAGTAGTTGATCAAATATGTGTTAAGAGTATGTGTTAACTTATTTTCACCCAGAAAATCAACAAAGTGTCATTTCACATGGGGTGTTCAAACTTTTGCACATGACTGTATGCTAGGATAAAAGCCCAACGCTGCAAACTAATGGAATATTTTGGAAAAACAGCTTAAAATAGATATTAGTGAACGTGTTGTGTTGAGTGAACGTGTTGTGTTGGTTGGTGGGAAATTGAGTTAATTGTAAAACTTGAAAAGCTGCTTGCTTCTATACGGTTGGCTTATAGTGTTTTGCTGAGCTGATGCTAAAAGATTAAGCAGGTCTCCATGCTTGAGTAACTCGGCCCTGACACTGTGTTACACCGCCTGCTCGTCCAGCGTCTGGTGGTCAGAGGGCCTTGGACAGCAGGCCTTGGGCAGTGGCCCTGTTCGTCTGTGCTGCTGCTGACGTGATTTTAAAGGAGTTTTTTTTCTTCCTTTTGTTTATGTCTTCATTGCGTGCCAAGCCAGGCCTATCCCTGCCTGCTACATTTATCCATGGAGCATTGACTGAAAAAACATGTTTTTACCTGACCTTTCCCTACCACAGACAGGCCAGATCAGCTCATCATGCAGCCTCCTGCCCTTTCGACTCGACTGAGCTTAAACCACGGAAAAAAATATCAGCTCATTCCATCCATGGCGCTTAAGCTGCTGAAGTCGGAGAGACAATCTCTCTCTCTCTTTGTTTCTGTGTCTCCTTTTCTCTCATTCCCCTGAAACTCGCCCGCTGCAGCAGCTGGCGAAACAATCAATGGCAAAAATCATCGAGCGAGGGCCGGCGTTAATGGAGTTCATTTAGAGAGTAGAAAAACATTGGTGTGGATATTAAATAAGCCCAAAAATATTGATGGCCGTGCCATGCAAACAGTTTCGCTTTGCTGCTCGGCAGCACCCTCCTCTACCTCCGGGTCACGGGTTTTGCGGCTCGGGGGAAATAAAGTGCTCTGAGCCGCCGGTGCCTGAGAGCAGCACCACAGCAAATAGTTCTGTTATTAAAATGAGAGCAACCTTTTAGTTTGGCACCCTCCAGCCACGGTGCAGCGAACCCAGCCGGAAGCCAGCGGCGGAACTCTCGAGTACCTGAGCACCCAGGAGAGGAAGCTTCAGAGAGGAAGTGATACAGGGGCGCCTTCAAAGCAGGAAGCATTCGCTCAGAGCCTTTCATGCGAAGGGCTTGAAGATAAGAGGAGGAAGAAATGGGAAGCGTCTCTATACTGCCTGAAACAAACAGGTGGATCTTTCCTCTGTAACCGCTGCTTCACAGCAGACGGCTCTCTATGGCCCTGGCTGTCCATCACCGAGAGAGGAGCATCAACACTGACAGCGTGTAATTTGGACAGATGGACAGCCAGCAACAGATCACTTTTTTGTTGACTGGGAAGGTCAGACAGGGAAGTGTCGGGTGGGCAGAAAGCTTGACATATTTAGTGATGGGTAAGAGCGCCGTTTAAACGTCAGGCTTAAAATAACGCAGTAAATCTGCTTACGGTGTTGGGGCCTTTTTCGGTTCGTGCTTAAATTCAAAGGGACTAAATCTCTAGAACAGAATGACGTTACCACATACCTGGCTACATTATTGGCCTCGGTGAGGCATGATGATACTGAAAGTACAGTATTTCCAACCAGTGTATATCTGAGCTGTGATATAGCTATATAGCAGGTGCATCCACCACATAGGTGCAGTTTGTAGGCTTGCTTTAGTAACTATAGCCTATCTATTGTTGTACAACTTATCAGCCATCCCTGACCCTATCCGTCAATAGAAAGGGACCACCACTGACCAGATATTATATCAGGGCACTGGAATGTAAATATATCTTGTGCACAGGGGTTCTGTTGAGGGGGAAGCCAGGGGGGGCTGCAGGGGTTTAGGACAATTCCAAGGGCCCTGGAGAGACAGGGGCCCCAAAAGATTGGACCTTTCGCATGTGATTTTTCTTACTGAATAGTTATTGATTGAAACGATTCATACATTAGGTAATAATTTAAGACTGCACTCTTAAAAAAGATTATTCTTCAACTGTTCTGTGGGAAATAATGTGGTTCTATATAGAACCATGAACCATGTTCTTTGCATCATAAAAGGGCTCCTTAGATTGAAACTGTGCATGAATGTGCAGTAGATGGTTCAATATATAACCTTTTTGAAAATGGTTTTATATATTTATGTATCTTCTATTGTCACAAGCTTGACACCATAACAATAGAAGAACCCTTTTAGGTGCTATATGTATCCATTTTCAAAAAGGTTCCATGTAGAACCATCTACGGCACACTCTCCATCAGTCTGAGTAACTATTTCATGATGCAAACAACTCTTTAATCATGCAAAGGGTACAACTATTTTCTTTACTAAAGAACCCCTGAAGCACCATCTTTTATAAGAGTGTACTTTTTGATGCAGTGGCAACAGCAGTGAAGCTTACATTCTGTCACAGTTCATTGTAGAGTTCTGCTTTGACAGCCAAGATGCAATGCATTTGAGAAACAACAAAAAATACAGTTTTGGCCAGTTGCATACAGTATAATAATATGCAGTTGTGGTGCTTATATTCATATGCACAGCCTGCTGCATGTTATAGATGACAGCATGGTGACAGTGATAGTTGGAATTACAAAATAAGGTTAATATTACCACCACTACCCCTGGTTGCACTGGTACAACTTTCTTACACTTACTAGCCACTGTATTACATTGGTAAATTTGTAGGTGTACAGTTAGAGTTTATAGCTATATAGTCTATAGCTCATTTTTTTCCATGCACAATCCTCTTGCCATTAGTCGGCACTCAGTTTCTGACCGCAGGACCACTGTTGGCTGGATATATTTGGTTAGTTTACTATTTTCAACGCAGAAGTGGCACTGAAGTGTTTAAAAGTCTTAATAAACTGGCCGCTCAGTGTATGTACTGTGTGATCTGACACCCATCTTGTGAATTCAGGGCTAAATCCCATCCCCTTTGAGTGTAGCTAGCTTAAACAACAAGACTCCATGTCTTTGTGCTAATTCCTGATGCACACTGAGAAACTGAGACAATTTACATTATTAACCTGCTGTTACGAATATCAGCACTTTGCTGAGGAACACACAGCTTAGCGCATATGAAATACCACATAATTGCACTGATGTCATTACAGTTTCACATTGGCTGAGCTGTAATCTCCCCTCCTGCCTCTGTGCGTGCGGTTGGGCACACACAGCACCGTGGCACAGGCATCTGTGGCACGCCACTTCAAGCTCCATTATGGGGAGAATATTAGATTTGGAGCCCTTGGAGAAACTGCGGTGCTGGAAGCTGGCCAAGCTTCGGAATGCAGTACAGATCAGCCTTCACAATCAGCCTAATACCTACAAGGACATCAGGGTGTGTCTTAGCATGCAGTGCTCACCTATGCAAAGTTAGAACAGCAGTAGAGTCCATTCTGGTCTGGGGCAGTAGTTTTGCAGCATGAATGAAGATCAAAAGATTTATGATGGTGAGGCCAGTGGTAGTTATTATTTTTCTTCCTGTGAACATTATACAGTACAACTGGTACAGATATGCTTATTATTATTATTATTATTATTATTATTATTCTCCTAGACCCCAGCGCTCAGCTGGGAAGCTTTTCCTCTGTGCCTGGCTAATCACTGTTCCCTGGGTCTTTTGCTGCTTAATGAAAGGCCAGGAACACTTTCTTGTCTCTCACTCTTTTTCCTTGTGTTCTCTCTCCCTCTGCTCTCATTAGCACCCCGTGTAACACAGAGGTTGCTTTTTTCCCTTTCACCACCCCATGTCCTCCCCGTAAGCACTACCTGCCAAATGGACCAGAGGGGGGCTTATTAGTGTTTGCCTACCATAAAGCACATTTAGAGGCGGTGGCACCACACTTCTCTGCTCTGCCAAAGACTGCAAGTGCCTTCAGTAGAATTTTACATAAGCTTTCTGCCATTAACAGTTTAGGTTTGGTTTTTCTGTCTTAACAGTTTACCAGTGTTGGGTAGTAATGGACTACATGTAATCATGATTAAATACTCAATAACAGTATGATACATTTGAAGATATTCATCGGATTACGGTTACTTTCTTTGGAGTTACTATTTTTCAGGATTCCATTTTTGATTAGGCAATGTCAAGAAATCGGTCCATTTATGTTTCCATTCTCGTTTCTCCATAATGTTCGATCAAAGTGTAGTGACGTTTGCCCACCTCCAAAATATTTTCTGATGCTGCAGTGGGTAGAGCTCTCAAATCACAGCAAGAAGGGCCTGGGTTCAACCCCCTGGGCTGGGCAACCGGGATCCTCTCTGTGTGGAGTTCTGTGCATGTTCTCCCTATGTCTGTGTGGGTTTCCTCTGGGTGCTCCGGTTTCCTCCCACAGTCAAAAGACATGCAGTCAGCCAAATTGGAGATGCTAATTTGGCCCTGGTGAATGTGTATGTCTGTGTGTCTGCCCTGTGATGTAATGGCGACCTGTCCAGGGTGTTTCCTGCCTTTTGCCCAGTGAGCCCTGGGATGGGCTCCAGCACCCCCTGCAGCCCAGGAGGATAAACGGCTTAGAAAGTGTGTGTGTGTGTGTGAAATAATATGATAGCATGTTTCCCCTCCCGATCCTTCACAGTTGACTGTGGACAAGCACATCTAGATCTAACTCCATGTTTATTTTGAATAATGGATATCATCCAACGAATAAAACCGTGTTACCCTATAATTGTTTCCAACTCGAATATCCTATTTTACTAGGAAATACGTCACATCAAGGAGAAAAAATGCGTTATGATTTTCGATTTACCTTTACACTTTAAATTCACTGTATATGTATATAATGCTGGTTTTACATAGTGCAACTTTAATTTAATTAGTGTCATGTTGTGAGTTACATGCAACTTAATTTCTGCGCAACTTGGCAGTTACATGAAGCAGTATTAAAACAAGCAAAGTTGTGCACAGCACATTTTATTATTCCACTAAGTTGACAAATTAGCAGCATGTATTTTTAATACATTGTATTTGTTCGCTATATCATACTTAATATGTAAATAGAATATTTCCAGCTGTGTTTGCCGATTCTTTTTTCTACATGTGTATATATATATACTTATTTATAGGTCTTTACCATATATTTGAGTTTTTAATCTGTTCTGTGTATGTTAAGCCTTTGTAAATGACTGTTTAAGTAGCCATTACATCAACACTTGTACTTGATACCTCACTGTTCCTTTCCTTAAAGCACTGCAGGTTCATAGAGGAGTGCATCTCAGTCCCCCCTTCTGTAATACTTTTCATCCTTTGGATCCCAAATTAATCTGCACTCCATTCATCCATTAATCCAGTGAAATCAGTCATTTGAAAAGATGTTGTGCGACATGTCACTTAATATGTTATCAGCATTTTGACTGGCTGTTTCATGAAACTGGTTTCACTAAGTCGAGATGCTACTTGCAACTGTTGCAGTTGAGTTTCAGATAAGTTGCAGGACACTTTACATTATGCAGGTCAAGTGAAATTTAGTTTTTCATGTAAATTTTAAGTTGCAAAGCCAGTTTAACAGCGTAGTAACTTTCACAGTGAGTTACTTGGGAGAGAGAACGAAGGGGGAGAGGATGTTAAGTATCTGCGTCTTCAAATGGATTGAACTTTATGGAACAAAGCAGAGCAGAAGTAGTCCAAAAGTAATTAAAAAAAAATCAGATTAGATTGCCTTGTTTGTGATTAGCTTTTCTTAACATTTCTTAAGCAATCATCTACCCAAGTCAGTCACCAGTTTTGTTCCTGCATATCTCTGGAAGTGTTTGGCAGACTTAAAACGTCCTTTTTGACACCCAAAGCTCAAATACATTGTCAGAGGAAAAAGGGGGTGGGTTTATTTTAAGCTTACATAGTGAATGACCATCATGCGTAACTATCTGCCGGCCATATTCATGGCCTCATATCCATAATGTCAGTGTGTTGACACTTAGCGTTGATTGTGTGAGAGCGTGTGTGTCAGACGTCATTTTGAATGTCAGTGCCCCTGTACACACACAGCAGGAAGCCTAATCCCAGCTGAATTGGAAGGGAGCGAGCCAGGCCAGGCAGAGATGTGCATTTCATGCCGAATGTAGCGACCATGACGGCGAAGCATGGCTGACGCAAGGCTACCTGCTGCCAGCCGCTGGAGAACGGGCTGCTTGCAATGACCAGTCATTTTAATGGATGAGGGAGAGGACAGTAGTGATAGAACATAAAGGTCAGCAGTGAGCACACGGGGGGGAAACGAGCTGGGTCAGAACCCGATGTGGATGTATTCTGAGCTGCCAGAATTGCATCTCCAGTGCTGCTGTTTCATATCCACCACGCCAACCAATCAGGCCTTGCAATCGGGTGTAAACAGCCCAGAGAGGTGAATAAAATCGAGCCGTCCAATTTTCTTCTGAGAATGGTAATAGCAACAAGAAGAATCAGACAGCAAAGAACATCTGATAAGAGTCTTAATAACAGAGAAAAAGAAATCTAATAAGTGTTTCCAGGGCTGTTAATTTTATGCAGCAAGGAGAGATTGAGTGCTGCGGCTTTCTGCTTTTTTCAGTTTAACATCTATTTCATACTTTTTATGTTCTTTTATTTCTATTCTTTATCATTCTTATGATTGCTTTCTTAAGTAACCTTGGGTCTATGAAAGGCTTTGCATAAATAAAGCCGATTTATGACTGTTTATTATTATTTCTGCTTGGCAGACAAACCAGAGGTGAAGATCGTGGTGGGGTTTCCACAGGGCCTGACCAGAGAGGGTGAGAACCTGGAGCTGACGTGCAAGGCCAAAGGCAAACCGCAGTGAGACACTTTTTTTCTTTCTTTCTCTACAGATTCCCGTGATGTAGATATCAGCTGTCCTATTAGCCCAGGTCTCAGGAGTTTTTCTTAGTGAGTGTATAGCAAATAATGGTGAATTTCTGCATAAAGCTAATGCTAAGTCACAGTGAAGGAAATAAAAGGCAGCATCCCCCCAGAGCAATGCCAGGGCACTCCAATATCAATGGCAGAAGGATATTATTATATGCTTTCTGGACATATTTATCCAGTGCTGTGAATGCGAATGAAGAAAAAACAGGCCAAAGCAGGCTGCACCTGTTATTATTGGTGTCTGGTAATTGTATGATAATCAGTCCTTGGGAGCTGAAGCTCTGAGCCTAAGCATGATTTGCATGTGCATATTGAAGAGGCAAGTGCAAGCCAAATGATGTCATCCATCACAGACTGTGTTTGTTGGTCCGGGTTGCCTCGGCGGCATCGAGCACCCGCACTATCAAACATTTCCTCACACGTAGCAGCCTCCATAGCCCCTAATTGAAAAAACTGTGGATGAAATGTCAGTGTGAGCAAATGTGTGCAAACACAATGAGAGGCAATTCACATGCAATCCACCCCCCCCCACCCCTCCCACCACCATCCTCAAACTCATATTCTGCAGGGAGCTGAGGCTCCGCCCGCATTCATTTAATAAAGACGAAAATACAATCAATACAGTGAGCCGAAAATTGGAAGTCATTTTCATTAAAGTCAGAAGAGGGGCTGCAGTCATTACTGTCATATAGTGTTGGGCTCGGTGCTCCAGGCCCATTTGTATTCTGCCTCTCACCCCAGGTTCTCTGCAGCCCTTCCACTGCGTGTTTCCCCCCTTTCCGTTCCTCTCAGTAAAGCGCTTTTTTTCTAGGTCATTTCTCTCCCTTCGTTGCAGGAATGCCTGCATCTTCATGCCATGCATGTATATTTAACCTCTGATTCACACTCACACACCAGATCCTGCTCTACGTGGAATTCTCTTGGCGCATACCATCAAATGCTGTTTTCTTCCATAGAGGCTGAAGATCAACTGTTATTGAGCTCAAACCAATCTTTTTGTTTGAAGCTCAAAGTCCCCCCCCTCCCCTCAACACAATCCTTCCATCTCTTCTCAGTGGATGGAAACAAGTTTAAACACCGGCACAAAAACAGAACAACAAGGGGAACCCTCCCCAGAAACTCCAGGGAAATAACTTGGCTGCAGAGCTGCCACTGAACCTTGCGAGAATAGAGCAGAGTTTAGAAGCCCCTTTGTTTTTGCCACAGTGGGCCTAGCTCACTTTGCCCATCACTGTGGAAATCGAACAGGCCGTTCTGCACCCTGTTTACACTAGGTGTTTGGAGAACAAAGGAACAAAGCTCTTAGCAGCAGGAAAATATCAGCCTTTAGTTTTTTGTCAGTTCATTAAAGCCCTGAGTTGAAAAATTGTTCCAACAGCTACAGAGAATGCAACTGGTTCCTGTAGGGCTGTGGTCCACACAATATTTTTACAACCTCGACCTCGACCTCAGCTGGCATGCAAAGGGCTTTTTATTAATTGATACTGTTTTTAATAGCCTGTAATCTATTCATTTTACCATTGCATTTTTATGAGGTTAGGTTGCTAACGTTTAAAACCTACTTATCTATCTTCCAGGACTTTCATCTGATGCTAATGAAAACTTACAGTGCAAAACTAGAAAGTGCATTTCCTGAAGAAAATGTGAAGTGACTGCGCAGCGTAAGAAGGTGCCAGGTAGTTGCTAGGTTGTTGGCGAATGTTTACTATGGTATTTTATGTGGTTCCTAAAGTGTTGCTAACCAGTTGCTATAATATCCTAGGTGGTTGCTAAGGTGTGGCTAGGTGGTTGTTATGGTATTCCAGGTGGTTGCTAGGGTGTTGCTACACGGTTGCTAGGTGGTTGCTAGGGTTTTGCTAGGTGGCTGCTGTGGTATCCCTTGTGGTTATAAGGTGTTGCTTGGCAGTTGCTTTGGTACTCCAAGTGGTTGCTAAAGTATTCCAGGTGGTTGCTAGGGTGTTGCTACACGGTTGCTAGGTGGTTGCTAGGGTTTTGCTAGGTGGCTGCTGTGGTATCCCTTGTGGTTATAAGGTGTTGCTTGGCAGTTGCTTTGGTACTCCAAGTGGTTGCTAAAGTATTGCTAGGTGGTTGCTGTGGTATCCCAAAGGGTTGCTAAGGTGTCGCTAGTGGTTGCTATGGTATCCCAAGTGGTTGCTAGGGTGTTGCTAGGTGGTTGTTATGGAATCCCAAATGGTTGCTAGGGTGTTGCTAGGTGGTTGCTATGCTATTCTAGGTGGTCGCTAGGCTGTTGCTGTGGTATTTCAGGTGGTTGCTATGTTGTTGCTCATTGGATGCTGTGGTATCCCCAGAGGTTGTTTTGTGATTGCTAGGTTGTTGCTTTAGTACCCCACATAGTTAAGAGGGTGCATCTAATGTTTTGAGTTCCATAGTTGGATTGTATTTAAAATATGGACCACTGATGTCAAGCATAATTTTCTGGTTTGTCCCTCTGTCCAGGCCTCAGCAGGTGAACTGGGTGAAAGTGGATGATGATGTGCCATCTCATGCCGTAATCACCGGCACAGACCTCTTAATCGAGAACCTTAACAAGTCCTACAACGGCACGTACCGGTGTGTGGCCTCCAACTCGGTGGGCGAATCCTATGACGATTACATCCTCTACGTGTACGGTGAGTTCACAAAGCTCAAGCAATACCACCTCCCTCTCTCTCGATCTCTCTCTCTCTCTTCCTCTCTCTCGCTCTCTTTCTCTCTTCCCACACTGCTCCATCTGAACACAGGTCAATAGCATTGATCTCAATGACATTTCCTTTCCTTTAGGACATCACACTCTAATCTGACCATTTTCCTCTCCGAATTTACTTCTGATATCGTTTACTCCACTAAGCCTGCGGAGAAATTACTCGCGTTTATTCTTAGAAAGCAATAATCGACAAAGGAGCTCTTTTTTAAAAGGGATTTGCGCTTTTGCAGAGGGTCTTTAAGTGGTGAGCTATAGCGGTATTTACAATGCACAGCTGTGCTGATAACAAAAGAAAGAGACGCTCTTGTGAAAAACCATCTGCAGCTCCTCATTCTTTACTGTGTTCGTTCACTTTCCCTGGGTTTTTATAATAAAGCTGTTAACGATGAATAATTTAAGAAAGACGCTGGCACGTACAGCATTTGCATGTGTCGAGTGGCTGAATGTGAGTAGTAAACTGGCTCCACTTGGCATGTTCCAAAAACTTGCCCCAGAATGAGGTGCAAATGTGACAGGTATTGTGGCAGGCTTTTCGCACTTCACCCCCAAGAGTTGAAGTTGGCATGAGTCGCCGGTGGAGAATTCACAAGCGCCTGGCCTGTAGAGGTCAGGAAACGGAGGGAGGGACACATGCCACGCGGGCTGAGGCAAGATCCCGCCCTTATTAAGAGCAGCCCAAGCCATAATAGAGTCCTGTCTGGCCATTTGATGTCTTTGATGTCTGTCCCTTCTTTTAATATCTACTGTAATTCAACCTGCAAATCTTGTCCGGCATTAGAATTGCTAATGCAGAGCCAGGACGCCGACTCTGGGCTGTCAGCGCTTAATCTTGCGTCATGTTCCTCTGTCATCCATGCACATACACCCTCCCACCTGAACACAGTGTGTTAACCAGAGCGCTCTGACACCCTCCCGTATTCTACAAGCACCACACACAAGCGCTCATAAAGACAGGCGCTGGTGACATCTGCGCGCTTCATAGTCTTATAATTATTCTCCTTCGGTTTTAACAGGATGACATCTGCTTATTACAAACAGTGGCCCTGCCACATTCTGAGCTCCGCTGCCATGGCCTGACAAGTACCCCCGAAATGTATGAAATATTACAAAATCCTGCTCAAGAAAGGCGCAATTAGGGGGCTGCGGTTTGTGGGAAGAAAGAGGAGGAATGACAAAATGGCTGTTTAGCAAGCCGTCAAGCTCCCAACAACATTTTCGCACATCCAGAAACATGTATTAAATAGCATGGCGGAGCAGTAATTGTTGAGCCGGCGATGCATGACCTTATGGAAATCAACCATGAGCGTGTTTTAATATACATTTCAAGTATTTCTCAAAGAGAAGTAAACACTTCAAATATTCCATTACAATGTGCGTATCTGCCTGCTCTTTGTCAAGAAATGAGAGTGTAGAGATGTCTCTCTCTCTCTCTCCCTTTCTCTCTCTCTGTCTCTCTCTCTCTCTCTTTTCCCATCTCAACAACCTCACGCCATTCCACAGTGAGCAAGACCAAGAAAAACTCCCCGCCCTTATAATTGGAAGTCTGCGAAGTGTAACGTTTTAACTTATGAATGACTTTTCATCGAAAGAGACGAATAAAATCGGCCCAGCTCATCAGTGCTGTGTGTTCTGTGGGGGCCCCGGGCTCGCTGGAAGACGTTCCTGGCTCCTTTTTCCACGCGCGCAGACAGAACAGATGTAGTGCAGCGGCCATTTCCCCCTTAATGCGTTTGTTCCCCAACTATTGTGAAGCTAAGTGATGAAGAACACTCAGAGGGGGGCTGGCACTAAAGTGGTTATGGGGGGAAAACTACATTCCCTGAGACACATTTCCAAAGCCTCAGTCCTGGCAGAGTCCCTGCAGGGGAATGAGAGGCAGCATACAGGGCTGTAACCAGTTTACCGAGTGCCTCTAACCTAATAGAGACTACCTTTTGCCTTGGCGGCCCCCAGCCTCTTTTTATTGCGCCCTCCTCCTCTGCTTGTCACCCTCGCTCTCGTTCTCCCTCCGTTAACACTTCCTCTAGTGCTTAGAGTGCTTTCCTCTGCCGTCCCACAGCCGCCCGCGAGAAATCGATCACCGCAATACACTCCTTCACCCGTGCTTAGCTCGCTAACCCTGGCACGCAGCCGCCTCTTCTGCTCGCCGGTTCCAGTGCGTTCAAGACCCAGCCTAACTCCAGAGGGAACGGATTTCACAATGTTGGTGTGGATTACAGGTTATAATACAGCCTTGGCCCAAGCCCTTTGCAAAGAAAGCGCTCCATATGCCTCCGTAAATGCCAGGGCGCATAAAGAGATATTTGTCTCAGCGCAAGCCAGATCCCCGGGCCCTCAGCCACAAGCCAGCGGCATTCTTTTCCTGCCATGGAAGCAAATTGTGGCATGATTGATAAAGGGCCTTGTTTCGTGACGTGCCGACGACGACTTGAGGGAGCTAATTGTCCCACGTACTCAACAACACATGTCTAATTCCAAGAAGGGGGAGAACAGCAGTCCTCCCAGCAGTACACACAACTCCCAAGCAGCCAGCCTCAGTCAAGCAAGCTCAACATCTGCAGAAAAAAAAAAGAAAACACACAAGATCTGCAGTCCTGCCACAGCGGGGCCAAATCCCATCACTGTGTCATTATAATGAAGCTGTAAATTCCCCCCACTCGACACTCTCCTTCCATTCTTAAGGCTCCGCGCACTTTCATTACATTTGAGCCGCCGATATTTCCTTCCTGCAATTTGTCGCAGTCGTGACGCACACATTTAAAAGTCAGATTTCGTCGATAAATTTGGCTGCTGTCAAACATGGCTTCAGTAGTTTGCCTCTCAAGAAGTCACCCAGCTGGAAATGCAAATGTTGCAGCATCAGAGCCGGCATTGTAAAACTCTCCTGGAAGTCTTTGGCTGACGGAAAACGACAATGCATAGCAAATGGCATGCATGTCAACGCATTGGAACCTTTGTAGCAATGAACCAAATGCGTTTGTTCCTGCTAACCAAGGCTGCTTGACGTTATCAACATTCAAGTGATTTCCCGTGCTCCTGAATAACCATGTCTCATAGTGGTGAATAGCACCTAAACATGTCTTCCTACGTGTGTGCAATACACCCACTGTTTCTGCAACATCTTCTTTGAGATGATGGCATGATAAGCCTTTGTTGAAAGGTAGGAAAGGGACACATGCACCTTGCAGGATTCTAATGTCAACTGTTATCCTCCAGTAGGCGCACAATTCTGTCGGCAGAGATGAACCAGCTGTCTCTTCATGAAAACATGAGCAGAATGATGACTGCACGACTGGATCACTCACTGCGTGGCTCACTTGATTGCCTCTGCCCGACCCACTGATGCAAACTACCTGTAAATACTCTCAGTAACGTGTAAACTCGGTGTAAACTCGGTTCCTGATTGTCACGAAATGAGCCACCGCGCCGGCATGTGTGCTGTTCTTTCATCATTAGCGTTGTCATAGGCTCATCTCTTAATAGGCCTGAGGGGACCCATCAATCTCCTGTCACCGTGTGCAGTGGGCATATTGGCGCGGGTTCTGATTTTTGTAAAGCGCTTGTTGGTCTGGTCCCTCCTAGCTCTCTCTCTCTCTCTCTCTCTCTCTCTCTACCTCCCTGTCTCTCGCCCAACCACAGGAGTCTCTCTGCTCCACATCCATCTCACTCTATCTGCCAGAATCATTAACGGGGGTGGACTCCTCAGCCCTCCCTTCATTAGCCTTTAATTGGAGTCAATCACTCCGGGGGTCCTGCCAATGCTGGATTTGACTGTACTTAGTGTTCTTTTACGCCATTCACTCACCCCTCTCTCGCATTGATTCTGAAAGGCACGCAGCTAATTGAATTTTACTCGCCATACCTAGGCAAATGCGCTACTTCTGGCACTTATTGATATAACGTCTCTCTATTTTCCCAAAAACAGATGGGACGAATGTGGCTGCATATGCCTCTATCTGTCATTGCCATTGGAAAGCGTACTGATCCAAATAGGCTGTTTTCTTTCTTTTTCTCCTTTTTTTTTTTCTTTTTTTCTGGAGTACATGCTTGTGTGCAAGAGAGAAGAGGAGGGGCCACGAAGGTTTCCTCAGTGTTTATACCCCTGGAGCATCAGTACCATTGCAATATTTGCTGGGATTATCTCCCTCCCCTCCTCCTTCTCGCTGGTTTTGCTAAAGCGAGCAGAAGCCCTCCTTGAACAAACATGCAAAGCTACCTAACAACAGAAGGTCGCTGGTGAGCAAATCAACAACTCTGAGCTGCCTCCGCTAATCACTCTTGTTACTCGCGTATGCACTTTCTCTTCTTATACGTGACGTTCCTCAATGGCTTTTCGCGTTAAGAATCCCCCCATGTGCGGGGAAATAGCACAGCGATTAAAAACCCTGATCTCTTCTCGCTCCCAGCACCCCCCTATCCACTTCCCTCTCTGCTTATGCATGCGTTGGACTGCATCTGCAGGTAGAAGATGCGCCCTTTTGCCAAGTGGCCCACTGGGAAGGCAGAGAGAGAGCGAAGGATAGGAGAAAAAGTGAGATAGGAGAGAGAGAGAGACTGAAATGCAGCATTATGAGCTCTCCTCCTAGCGTTAGCTGGCGTGCGTACATCTGGGGAATTGGCAAAACTGGCAGTTTTGCAGTGGCCTGGGTATAATGAGCCTGCTCCACATGCCACACACCTCAGCCCGCTGCGATGATTCATAATGTGCAATGATAAACACACACCGGCGTGACACTGCAGGAGCCTGCCCACTGTTTGAATGGCAATAAGCTCTGAACTTTTTGATTCGCCACCGCCTTTGTTTGTTTTGCTAAAAAGAGACATGGCTAAACATTTACATAGGCGACCGTGCTAAGGAACGAGGTGCAACTATAGATCCTTTTGCACTGCCAAGTTTTTAATGAGCTATTGACACTGTTGATCCCA